TTATAGATATCTTGTATCTTTTACTTGTCAAAACTTTAAACACGTTTTTCTCAAAACTGTACTTTTTTGCACTGCTGGAACTCTCATTTAAAAACTATTCAACCGATCGCGCTGAACTTTCGCACACAACTTCATGACATCAGTACAATGTCGGTGAACCTAAATGTTTGTGAAAATTATAATAAAAAATCACTTATTTATTGCAAAAATTGTGCAGAGAAAACGTCAAAAAATGGAAATTTATTTTCATAAGCGTTTCATATTCAAAATTTTTGACTTTTTTCAATTTTTTTAGGTTCAATTACGAATTATGGGTATAAATAATAAGAATTTTTTCGCTGCCTGTTATAGGATCAATATCACGGACGCCATTTGTCCAGCAGCTGAGCAACTCGCACGCGTATCTGCCAAATGGGATGCTTCATATGTCCGCCATTTTTAAATATTTTTGGAAAAAAAAATACGTATGGACAGTCCAAAACATATATAAATAAATGTTTAAGTTTGAAAAATATAGAAAAATTCTTTCTCCTATAAAAAAATTCTTGAAAATAGCTTATTTTTCCTCGTTCTAATTGGATTTCCCCCCTTAATATCTCGTTAACTGTAGTGACTATTTCTACATTATTTACAGCGTTGCAAACGTTAATCGAAAACGTTCGTACGTTTCCAGCTGAGATGCTTCACTCGTCACAACGGGGTTTGCGGTCGCCATCCGTGGTTCCCGTACAGCGTAAATATCCGACGAAATCTTGTCTTTCAAAGTTGTCTAAATGACGTGACACGATACGCTCGATGCGAGGACAAATCGTTATGACTGCATTATGCAATCGCTGTATCTGAATATCCGCGCTCTACGGGATTCGCAGCGGGCGGTCAGCTGCATTCGAAATAACAAGAGGGGTAAAACTCGCAACGCGAGTGACACGGTGGCGGATGAAGCATCTGGAACACAATAAATTATCGACTGTCGTCAACGTAAAGTCATCATCGCCTCTGTGAACGTTCGTCGTTTCGCGACGTCCAGCGGGACGTCGATCGCCTCTCGTTGATCCGTCGCCTCGCGAGCCTCTTCTCCACGTCGTTCGAGTTGTCTCGCGCCGCCATCCCGTCTTCGGCCGGTCTCGCGAGGCAACGGCTCGACATCCCTCGAATTCCTCGCTCCCCGATCGATCGTCACCTTTCGAGCCGAGCGCGCTCTCGAGGACGACCGGCCAGGTCGAGAGGAATTGAGAAAAGAGAAGATAGAAAATATTACAGGCTCGCGCGCTACTTTACAGGAATATGCTACAAGTATCGTATGGACTTTGGAGCGTCTCTCTCTCTCTCTCTCCCCCTCTCTCTCTCTTTCTCTCCCTTTCTTTTTTTCTCGGCTTCTCCGAGCTGGTCGCTCGCATTCACGCATCAGTGGAACAAGTTGTCCAGCGACAACGGCGGTGTGATGGGTGGCAAATGATCACCGCAGGTCGGGAAGTTGGGCGGTATCGGCGGCAGGTCTCCGTGTGTCCCCACGTGCAGAATCAGATTCATGCCGATCAGTATGTGGAACAGGAAGTGGCAGTGGAACAGCCAATATCCTGTGAAGGAGGTATCGCTCGGCGTTAATTTCCACTTACGTATTATTAACGTAACGCGGCAGGTATTAATTGCGACTCTTTATGTTAATGATTGCAGTGATAGTTTCCTTTCTAATAAGATACGCAGTCGTTTGTTCGTAAAACCACGGATATATTTAATCGTCTCTACTCACTCCTCTTTTAGCAGAAGTAATACTAATAGCTAAAGTCATGTCTAACAAGACGCTTGCTCGGGAGAAGTGTCAAGTTCGCCAAGAAATCTGCGGTCGATAGGAAGTGCCCATCACTTGTGATATTTTACACGCACTATAGTGAAATAATCGTCGTATGCAGATGTGCCGTGCAAACTTTCGCAATTACGTGAGCAGCTGCGAGCGGAAGTGGTTTGCATCTCATCAGACTACCGTGAGTGCGCGCGCGCGCGAAAAGTTCGGAATTGTCGTTGTTAACTTACCCGGATTATCTGCGCGGAACCGGAAGATGACGTAGCCGTTGTTGGGAACGGCGATAGTGTCCTTAGCGGGAGGCAGGTTGAACTGTCTGTGCAAAAGACCACGTTTATCGAGGTCTAGAGCATGCTTCAGGTTGATCTTTTTCACATTTTTATCGGGAGAACGGCCGATACCGACCACGTTGAACGCGTATCCGTGCAAGTGGAAGGGATGCGACAAGTTTGGTTGTTGTACTGCAATCGTAGACGAAGATAGAAGATGCTTAATTTTATCGAACTGAGCAGCGCGCGTGAGACCATGTTTGAATAACAAATATAAGAAGAAATGTAAGAGTAAAATACGATTGAAACGCTCCGATATTAAGATGATTTGCACATCTGTGTACAGAATATGTTACAAATATATGTAAATTAGACTTACAATTTGGTTCTTATATCCTTTTCTTGTACATTTTCGAAATATAAAAATATTTCTTAAATAAATCATCAACGTAATTCTTTTAAAACTTTTGTGTTCCAAGTTGAATTTCTTTGAAACATATCTCTCGCATTAATTCAACTCCACAGATCTCACACAAAGAGAGCATGGAACAGTGCAAATTGTCATTGCGATGATAATCATTACAGCAAAGACAAACGCGTAGCACATACCTTCGTCAACGAGAACCACCTCGACGACCGCATTATGTGGAATGTCAACCTGGTGCGTACACATGCAGTTGGCGCCGCAGTCGGCCGGTCTGTTATCACCGTTGCAGAATTGTTCGGGTGGAATGTCATCGATTTGCGAGAGCGGGGGTGCCGGAGGAAACGTGAACGAGATCTCATCAACGAGAGAAATTACATGGTCGCCGGTCGGCGCAACTGCAAACACACCGAACACACAGTAAGTTTCGCGCTGTAAACCCTCAAGCGGGCTCCACGACTGCGACATATTTCGTAGACAAATTGCGCGATCGATTTATCGATACGGAAATATGGCTTCGAACTAACGGGCAAAGATACAAGATACGGCGATTGTTTTGAAGTAACCTCTCCTCGCATCTCGATACCACACACGAGCTGGCTCGCGTTCTCCATACTCTAGCGAAGCTAATTGTCTCGAGAAAAAATACCACCGTTTATGAGCAACATACTTCGCGATGTACCTCACGTAATTCCTGGTGCTCCGAGCATCACCGGATGATGTTGCATGCAACGCGCGCGATAGTATCCCTTTCTGAGCATACCTCTCAAAGTATACCCGGGGGATGTCAGGCGAAAATCAAGCGCAACCATCGCGTGGCGTGTTTGCCTCATCTTCGCGGATTAAATCGCCTATTATGCTCATTAGCGCGTCCTTACCGAGGAAGCGATTGTAGGTCTGCGGTTGGAAGACCTCTTCTGGTCTATAGAACAGGAAGCGGAATGGCAGGAAGATTTTCACGTCAGGGCGTTGCTGAAGGATGCCCTGATCAATGTGGCGGGCGTTTTTCAACTGGTTCACGCAAATCGCATCCTGGCGCGGTCGGTTGCAAATGGCATCCAGAGGATTCAGAACCTGAAGAGAGAAAGCTCGAAAATTTGCTCCTTCCGACGTGCTTACACAACGCAAGCAACATTGTTCACTATTTTTAGAAACATTCCCAAGTTTAATAGCGAAAAATTTTTGTTATACTGTAACCCTAATTATAACATTATTGAAATATATGAGTATTCAAGTATATTATGAATTCTTTCAAGCGATCCAGCATTCTTCATAATCGATATCTTCTCAAATTAATATCGTTTCGAATCGTTATTTACGATATTTAATACATCTTCGAAATTTTTCTTCTTTTTAATAAATATTTCTAGCTACATTTTTAGCTATACTACAAGAAAGACTAACATTGAAATATTTACTAAAAAGGATTCTTCCTTGTACAACGTGATATTTCCTAGTGCCAAACAGATATTTCCTTCTATATCGGATAAGGATTAAGACAGTCTCTATCTTATCGATTGAAAATAAAATTCCGACTCTCTCTTGCCGTTACATCTTATGGTTCGTGCCAAGTCACGTTGGAAGTACCATCTCTTGGTGAAGAGTACACGTATTAATTTTTTAAATTTAAATAAGTCATTATAGTTAATTTTCTCGGCTGATTCTCTTCTGCCATAATACTTGAACAGAAAGCATGCTAAGATGAGACTTTAAAAGACTCTGTAAACACGGATTTTTCAACAGACCAGCGGAAGTTTAGATCTTACTTTCAAGTTCTATCGTAAACAGGTATTCTTAGCGTAAATAATAGATATATGCTTACGACGCCTTGTGGCAGACCGAAGTCATACGTAGGTGGCGCGGTAGAAGGTTGATAAGGACCACGAGCGTATCGCAGAATAGCCAGCTGTTGAGCTCGAGGAATTCCACATTCTCCGAGCGACCGAAGTTGGATCCAATAAGCGCCGGCTGGCTGGTCAGCGTTTATGACGAAATCGTAACGTTCACCTAACGAGGGAACGTAAAACTGTGTAAACGATATTTGACGCGGGAATGATGAAATAAAATATTTCAACTGGCCTCGCAAAGGAGTCACCATCTGGACTAGCAGAATCTCTTTTCGCAAAAGCACACGTAGTCAAATAATCTTTCTTAATGAATTTTTCTTTTGAAATCTATTATCCCAAAATGACTGCTTTTGTCTATTATCATCTGATCTTTTGTCCAACTTGAATAAGAAATTTGCGAAATGGACACTTTACCCGAGAAAGAGATTATGGTGTTAACTTGTACTGGACGCACTGCTTCACCATCGGTGGCGATAATAGTGAGAGTGTGACCCTCGACAGTAATTTGAGAGGGGCATACTGATCCGTACGAGTTGATCAATCGGAATCGGTAACGACGGCCTGGAGTTATAGTGAACACTTCGAGAGGCGTATTCGTCATGAAGCCGGTGTTGGGATCCTGCAATGAAAGGTATGAGATATGCTGAAAGATACCAGCCATCGATGAGATCGTAACGCAATTAATCGACGGATCACTTAATGAATTATACAGTGAATTTATCGCCCAAGAAATCTTGTTCGCGCAATTTTATTTGGAACTTCTTAAATGTTCCATTATTTTTGCAATAATTGGTACAGCAGGACTTGAATGTATTTCCAAAAAAGATCTTATCGCGAATCATAAATTGCAGTATATATTTGTTTAATGTGATTTTCTATTAAATAATATCGTTCTTTTAATTCAAAGTCGATTAACTTCCTAATCAACGTACCCTAAATTGACCTTTCCCGTTAATCAACACGCTTTCAGGCGCCTGACCGGTGTTGACCGCGAGACGACCAGGGTAACGCTCGATAGCGCTCTCGTGGAACCAGTCGCTGATGAGCACCACATGCGTAGTTAAATCGTAGTCGTACAGATTGCTGTTGGGGTCCTTGCTCGGTGGCTGTCGGATCACTATACTTCCGTAAAGACCGTCGATCTTTTGCATGCCGGTGTGAGCATGCCAGAAATGCGTACCCTCGTTGCCCGCCGTCCACTGATATCTTTATACACCATACAATCATTTCACTCGTTTTGCGTTAGGTCATGTTTACGGCGTACAAAATGCTGCTTAGTTGGAAAGTTTGAATTTTCAAAGTGCCTCTGAGCAAATGTATTCCAATAATCTATTATTGAGCGACGCGTCAGAGTGGTATGTAATTTCTTAAATTGTACTTCTCTCCAAGTTTTGTGCTTCAGTTTGAGATTTACGATGAATCTGACGGAGTATCATTAAGCAAGAAATTTGGAAACAGTGATCTGCACATCGCGGCGTAAAATTAACAATTATAACTTTTTCTATACAGAGTATTCTCTATATGAAGATAAACGAATTTGATCCTCCTCACGCCGAAAGTAAGATCTCCCTTCTCTGTACCTGAATGTGTTACCCTCTTGAATGGGACACTGCGTCACGTAAGGCACGCCGTCGTAATACTGAGATCCTCGTTGCCAGACACCGTGCCAGTGAATTGTGACTTCCATTCCCTCCATGTGATTTTCCACGTCGACTACGACTTTGTCACCCTGGCACACCTGGATACTTGGCCCGGGGATCATTCTGTTCGCAGTCAGGATACCACGCTCCACGCCGTCCGCCAGAACGCATTGACACTCACTCCATACGGAGTTGGTTGCGTTCGGTGTGCATACCTGACACGCTCTGAAAATTAGCGGCAAGTTTGCACCGACACTAACTAGGGAAGTTGGGTAAACGGCTTTTCACGAGCACGCGATAGTCTGATTCATCGACCGCTCTGTTATCAAAAGTATCTACTTTTCAATTCTTTACAAATCAATACTTTTCAAAAGGTATTCCTCCAAACCCTGCATTATTTTATAGACCGCATGAACGCACGATGCGCAATTAAATATAGATTTGCAATCAAATATAAATCTCATATGATGTAATTAAAATGTATGTACAATTTCACATTAACGAATTTACCAATTTTGCTTTCATTCGTTATCGCGGAATAAACATTCGCGTCATCGTAACGGACGGAGAGAGATAGAGAGGGAGGATCGTTTCGCAACGTCGATCGATACGAGCTGAGTGATGATCGCGTCTCGAGTCGATTCGCAGCGATGCACTTACGCGCCGAGCACCGTGTAATATTCGAGCGTGAAGTGGTAGTAGCATATCCTGGGTGGCTCATTCTCGCGGCAGGCGCGAGCGCATTCGTCCGGCGACGAGAGCGACGGGTTCCGACGCAATTCGGCGGTGGCTCGCTCATTGTAGTCGAGGGGTCGCGTCCTCGGCGGTCTCATCGTCACCCCTCGACTACCGAGATTGTCGATTCCGCCGAATCCGCTGCGGAACACGCCGCCACTGCTGGTCGGATGGGTCTGCACGAGGCCATGGGCTGTGGGGAAAAAGCTCGCGCTGTTGTCCTGCTGAAAGATGTCTTCGGTTTTGAGAGTGGGGGACCAGAAGGAGGATGAGGCTGACTGATCCGCTGCCGTCGATTGATCCACTGTAAATAGATGAGATTCAAATAAAAACGATAGCTCGCGAGAGCCGGTTAGAATGGCAATATTTTTGCGAGTGTATTTTGGAGAGAGGCAGTGCGAGCAGCTGAAAGACACGGCAAGAGAGATGCAAAGCCTTAATCTATAATCTTAGATATAGAGTATTAGTTCTTTATTACGGCACAGAGGGAGTAATAATAATTCTGGAATTTAATTTTAAAGGCGTGGGATTGTGCGAAACTCGAATTCAGACATTAATACGTATCATAATTATGATACGGCGAATTTCCAATCTTGCGAAATGTCTAATAAGTTCCTTCTTATTCGTGGATTTCGTGCGACCGGCGTGCGATTATCATTATTCCGTCGTATCATTATTTCGTCGGTCAGCTACGAGTGCAGTGGCGCAACAGGATCATTACGAGCATTCGTTTTGCTTCTGCTTCGATCAGTCGCGCAGACATAGGACGCAGCAGAAGCGGGACGTTTCAGCTTGTTACGTGTCTAGTAGTTGGTCACGTGCAACGTGAACCCAACTTCTATCGATACATGGAATGTTGTACACATAACGAGATCAAGAACTCCGGATCGAATGGCGTATGTGTTTCTCTCTCTTTCTATCTTAAGATACGAATACACACGAGATATATACACACGAGATCTAACGATAGTCTCCTTAGCCTTGCAAATGCAGTTCACAACATATGCGCAGTCAAACGGTCGCAGCTTTCAAAAGCGCTCTGCGATATTACCGCCCGGAGAGGAAGTGATTTTCGAATGGAGTAGAAAGCCGGGTTCTTTGATTGTTAGCGATGATCAGACCTATGAGTGCACACGAAACAAAACGTGAAAGTACGATACGACCCGGTGTGTGTAAAATTTATGTGCGTGGCAGATGAAATTGATCGATAGACCTTAACGAACGGTACAGTTGGTAACGATAAAGACGATCATTAAGATGACGAGATAGGCGTGAGCGATGAAGAGGTCGACTTAATCAAGAGAACCAAAATGTTCACGCAGCTTCGTAACGTATCCGATTTACGTGGACGCGCCGTAATTTTGCAAATGCGCAAGATTGCAGAATTTCATTTGCTGAAACTAAAATAACATTCTGAATTGCAGACTTGAGTTCTCATTTAAATCGTGCACCATCCGGAATAACGAGATTCTCTCTTGTAGAATTTTATACGAGAAAAATGATCGTGTGCTCGCGTGCATCTTCCGCCATCGATTGGCAAGGAATCTTCACTGTTATGTAACGATAGGATCGACTTTTTTGACACGCAATTTCTCGATCCATATCGGGGAAGGGGAGAAAAAGAAGAAATCACTCGCGCATTGTAGTCACGTCTGAAGTCAGTAACGGTATGCCGCGGTAGAATGTGCTATTAGTAAAGATCAGCCGCGGCCGGCTGAGATTTATCTCGCGGGATTTTTCAAATATGGCGTCTAATATTTCATGCTTTATACCGGCTGATCGCGAGGCCTGTTCGGATAAGTTCACGATGAAGAACGACGCGATAACGTTTCATCTAATATCGCATGCGGAAGATTTAGGAGAGTTGCACGCTTTCTGGCGTTGCGTTATTTCTAGTTAAACAATGTTCCGAAAGAGTGAGTTTGCAATTATCTCTGAAATTACACGTTACATCGTCCTCAGTGTACCTTCCAAAGTGGAAATACGAGGGATCGCATATATCTAATTTCCACATCGAACGTGCGCGATGTTTCGAATGTGCAGCGCATCCTACGCCACTTGATGATGATCCGGGCGAAAAATCGCGAGGCGGCGGATCGATGTTGAAAAATTTATAACCTTCATCGTAATAAAGGGAATGGCGATTTCCTATAATTACGGCGAGCAGCCTAACGCGATTATTACCAGAACGCAACATTGTGCCGCTCTTTTGCGTGCCGCGGTGGCACCGACATCTCCTCCCGCTCTTGCGCCCAGGCGAAACTATTTCGAAGGGAGTTTTTTGCGAACAGCTTTCTTTCGTCGTGGCGATTTCGCGGACTGTCTCGTTGTGGCCGTCAATGAAACAATCGCGTGAGACCTTCGTGATGCCGGCAACCTTGCCTACTCATCAGACGGAACTTTATGAAGTGCAAACGCGAAGGGGTACGCTACGTAATAAAATGTTGGGGATAATTTCTTCTTAGCAGAATCGGATTTCAAATCTGAGAATCGACCGTTTCCATGAAATATCTTCAGAAGTCTGAAAGGTTACATAAGTGACTTTTAAGTTACTCTTCTGCTCGCGTATTTTTCGCGATAGACCGTTTCTTCTCGATGACATAAACGAACGACGACTGAAACAAATCACGAGTTAAATCACTCTAGGCCGTTTCACCCCGTGATTTATTCCAAGACCACCACTTGCGGATGACTTGACGCATTCTGATCCGCAGTCGTTCGCATTTCGAGTTTCGCGGAATTGCAACACAACGCACGCAGCGGCCATTAATCGTTCTTTTTCCCTTTTTTCACCACCGCTGTCGTTACGTGCTGTACGGGAGAGCCGTGCTGACGTAACGAACATTGGACTATGATTTCCCGGCTCTCCGTTCGATCGAGAGTTGGATCAGCGTCAGTCTCGCTGAATATCGGAGCGGGCGTTTTCCGGCCCGGTTAACCGTATCGCCGGTAATGCACCACGAAAAGTACCGTTCCGAGTGTCGAATGATTTATACCCCGATGAAAGTCGCGGCGCGCACCACCGCGCCGGCCACATTTCGCCACTGCGGCGGGTAATGGCGGTATATTTTCCACCCGCCGACGAAATGGCGACTTATTGCAGTCCGACTGCACAAGCCGCGTCGTTTCGTCCGGTCAACACGAATTCCTCGGCGCGTACGGATTATCGGGCTATACACGAACGGAGAACGTTGCGAAACTTGGCGCCTGGCGTTGGGCTTTCAGGAAAACACTCAAAGAGGATCTAAATGTCAAAGACACGACTTAGACTTCGAAAGAGTCTACTTGCGTGGCCGACAGGAACCGCACATGGGTGCCCGCAACGTGACGACCACAATAAGGCGATGAGGCAATGTCGCGCTGGCTCGGTCGCGTCATTTAGAGCGGGCGCATAACACGGCCGCGTATAACGACGCTCTCGCAGAGACACGGGCGCGTTCATTATGCCGCGCGGGATGGGTGACGCGACTAGACGCTGTCGTAAGACATCCCCGTGAGCGAGAAGTCGCGGTTGTGCAAGATAGAAAAAAAAAACAATGAATTAAGTAAGACAAAATCGCGCTTTCACGGTGCTAGCCCGACCGCTCCTTTCGCGCGGCAATTAATCCGTCACACCTCCATTTTTACGCCTGTCACGATTGTTCGACCGGTTTCCAAGTAACTGTGCATCCCGCGTGGCCGCGACCACACAATGCGCCTTCGCATTGTCCTTAATCGTCGCTGACGAGACGACTTTTCTCCGACGAGTGACCGCGAGAAGGAAAAATTTTTCGGTTTCACACGAAAAGGCCAAGAGAGAAACCTAGAACTCTTCTTACTTGAGGATCAGGACTCGAGGGCTCTTCTGCATATACTTCAAGCTTCGACACGTTCGCGCTCAACGGAGTTCAGAAACGTCGATCGTAAATGGAGGTATTGAGGTAAGGACGCCGACGAGTCATGAATCCACGAAGTACTTTCTTCGTGTGGCAACGCCATCGATTCTCGATGTCCCTGTCGAAAGGTTGAACAAGCCGAACCTCAGTGTAAAGAATTTACTTTCAACGAGATAATTATGCCGATCCCATTATAACGAGTAAGAAGACTCGTTACCCAGCACGATGTGGCTCGCGTGTAATTGTACAAAACGAATGTACGGTATCGCTTCGCAAGATACACGCGCGCTAAAACCATAGCATAACGTGTAATTTACATAATTTTCTTTCCGCGCGTCTCGGTTTATATTGGCACTATCCTTCACTTCCTTCTTTTACTTTTTTCTCTTTTATATTCGCCGCGAAAAAGGAGGCAGCAAAAACTAGCGCGGAATGTGATGGCAATTGGTGAAAGCACTCGGAGAAAATCCATTAAGTTTCAGATAATTGAAGGATAAAATATCGTGCCATCTCCCAATATTGCTCCGATTCCTATGCCCGTATTCTGTCAGAAATACACGAATCTATCTCTCTATTTATCTTGTTCCACTTTTTCGTGTAATAATATTTATAAAGATTTTAAAAAGATTATCCTGATTCTATTTGATTCTGATAGTTGAAAGATTTAGGAAGTGACAGACTGCTTGCTTCTAAATTTTTTAGTAGTATCTTTAAATTTTCAAATTTCTCTCAATTTTTCAACGACGGGACATGTTTACTTTTTCTTTCTTTAGCACTCTGTTTAATCATTGATATATCTCAGACTTCACTCAGCTTCTATAGAGAGGAGACACTAATAGGCTCTTTAAGAATTCAACACCCTTTCAGCATCGAAGCGGAAGCCACAGCTTATTCTTGATCGCTTGATTCGCACGCAATCGCGCATGTGTCCAGCGGCGCTTTCTTCGATCACTTCATGATTCCCTATCTTTCTTTTACGTGACTTGACACGCTGCATAATAAAGTACATTTTCATAGCAGACGTGTGATTAAGTTCGCGCCTGGATCACTCAGAGACGTCGGTCGTTCGCCCTCGTTAATTATCTTGACGTCTTACTTGACAGGAATGCCTCTCAGGTAACTCAATTTGATGCATTTTTTTGTGGATGCAGCACGATTCCAGCTTTTTTTTTTTCTTTCCTCTTTTGCTCACAATTTCGGATTGTTTTACACAACTGAGCAAAAGTTGGATCGACTTTCCCATATCGGAGAAATGCTTCAGCAGACGATACGTACGTTCGTTCGAGCATGAATGACGTTTGCGGAACGAGTTACGTACAATGTAAAGGAACGTGACACGCGAAGAGACACAATCGCGGGTGATTGCACTCTGATCGGTTGGTATTTTCCTCGAGGTGATAGGACCTTATCGACTACCAGCGCGGGAGTA